ACTGGCCTAGCAGGAAGGGAGGTTATACACTTTTTGGGCAAAAAAAAAATTACATATGTAAAGCCACAAAGTTTTATGGTAATGTTGGTCCCTTGGAGGCCCACTAAGGGTTCCATTTTGATAATCCGAATCATTCAATATTTAGAACTCGTCGAGTACTATATGTTTATAAAAAATCACGTTGATCGGATATTGTTAACTATATGATCAAATCAGTTTTGTATAAACAAAACGGATGGTGTGATAGTTAACTGTTGAACAAAAACTAATCCAATCATATAGCTATCGATATCCGATCAACGTAATTTTTTATAATACTCGACGAATTGTATATATTGAACGGTTCAAATTATTAAAATAGGACACGTGGTGGCCCCCATGGACCGACAATCACTGTCCAAACACTTTGCCCCCGAATGAGGCAATAATTTGTTGTGTAAGACAAACGGTCCCAGTAAGACAGCTGTACAATCTACTCAACTTTCTTCCCCTATATACTTTATTTATATAGTTTTTTATTACACATTTTTTATAAAAAAACAAAAAATTAACCTAAACATCCATATTTTTTTCTCAATTTTTTAATTTAAAAAGACAAAAAGTACATTTATTTATAACACTCAGACAATCCCATATCAAAAAACTATTTGATTTGATCATATTTTAAAATAAATTATAATACAAATATAATATAATAAAATAATTAATAATGTCTAATCAATTTAATTTTTTATAAAAATAATATATTAACGGAGTTGTAAAAATTAAACAATTTGAATCCTCACCATAAACTTGAATCAGAGCACACTAATGCGTACAACACCCTCGAGGTCACTGATAGGAGGTGTATCCTTGATAATGAATACAAACAGAAACAGTCAATTTTGGGCACCGTTAATAAGCATTAAATTCATGGCGTTGTCGTGCGTGAATCAATGGTCATTGTTTTTGGGGATTTGGATTATAGCTACGTCAACATCATAATCGTAAATACTACCTTACCATATAATAGTACTAATAAGATATTGGAACAAGAACCCTTCAAAGTTTTCCCTCCATCTTCCACATTCCATTCGAAAATTAATAAGGGAATCGTTAGTGTGGTAATTAAAGCTCCATTTAAGAAGAGTTATTTAAGATTTTTTTGGTTGTGTTAGTCACAAAAGATAAGATAAATTATTTTAGTCATAAAAAATAAAATATTATATTCAATTCATAATTATTACATTCTTTTCTCATAAAAAAAAAAGGTTAAAAAAAGGTTAAAAAGTCATTCACAAACCAAGTTTTTTAGCCCAGGTTAAAATAGTTAAAAAATTCAAAAAGTCAAAAAGTCAACCCACTTCCCAAACGACACCTAAGTAAAATTGTATTTGTTTTTATAATAATTGTTTGTGTAGAAATTATTAAATTATTTTTATATAAAATAATAAAATAAATTAATAAATACAAAAAATTAAACACTAATGTTAAAAAAAAATTCCCAATATGTAAAAAATAAAAAATAAATAAAAAAATTTCTAATCCCCTAACTATTTTTCTAATACCACCTCCATCTCTTCCATCCCAATTCCGTTTCCAACCTCCATCTTAATCCCTTCCACAACTCTACAAACAAACACAATATTAAATAACCTCACCTCCATCCTAATTCCATTCCATTCATTACACCTAAAAACAAAGGGGGTTTTAAGATTATATATATCAATTAATATATTAATAAATCATGTAATATAATTTTAAAAGTTTTAAATATTTATAATTTGTATAATAGGTAAGATTAGTAATTATAACATAACACTAGTTGATACTAGTGTGTACATTAATAGATGAGTTATGTTAGGAATTTCAGAGAATCCCACATCTATATTAGAGGTTTAGTAAAAAATTTAAGAAAAATGCTATAGATTTCAAAGAAATTATCAAATTTTTTACTAAATCTCTCATACAAGTATAGGACCCACATAAATTATATGGGTGTGAATTGAATCCTATACCCATATAAAAGACTTAGGCCAAGTTTGACATGCTTGAAAAAAGATAAAAAATTAAAAAGTCGCTATCATATTTAAGTCATATCATCTTATTTAAGTTACATCACCTCTCTAACACATCACTTCAAACTCAACCAAAACCCAATCTATATTTCATAAAAAGTCAAAAAGTACACTTATTTAGATCATCTCAAACAACTTCTTAGTAAAAAATTTTAATAATTTATTTAAAATCCTAACCTTTCTTGTTTCTACTTTTCAAAAAATACTTTTCAGAAAATTCTACTTTCTTATTTTCAGTATTTTTTTGTTTTTACTGATTTTTTTTAATATTTTAAGCAATTTTTTTACTTTTTAGACACATCTAACATAAATGCACCTAAAAAGTTAAAAAAAAAATTTAAAATTTTTTTAAAAATTCACTAAATATCAAAAATACAAAAAAAAATACAAGAATTCAGTACATTTTTTATATTTTTATGTATTTATTAATTTTTAAAATATTTTTTCACAATTTTTTTACTTTTTAGATATATCTAAATAAGGTGCATCTAAAAAAGTAAAAAAAAAAAGCAACAATGCTAGGTGACCACAAATTCTATGGCTCGAATGGCTCGAAACACTATGCAAAACGACGTCGTTTTTTAAGTCATATCATCTTATTTAAGTTACATCACCTCTCTAACACATCACTTCAAACTCAACCAAAACCCAATCTATATTTCATAAAAAGTAAAAAAGTACACTTATTTAGATCATCTCAAACAACTTCTTAGTAAAAAATTTTAATAATTTATTTAAAATCCTAACCTTGCTTGTTTCTACTTTTCAAAAAATACTTTTCAGAAAATTCTACTTTCTTATTTTCAGTATTTTTTTGTTTTTACTGAATTTTTTTAATATTTTAAGCAATTTTTTTACTTTTTAGACACACATAACATAAATGCACCTAAAAAGTAAAAAAAAAAAACCTAAAAAGTTAAAAAAAAAATTTAAAATTTTTTTAAAAATTCACTAAATATCAAAAATACAAAAAAAAATACAAGAATTCAGTACATTTTTTATATTTTTATGTATTTATTAATTTTTAAAATATTTTTTCACAATTTTTTTACTTTTTAGATATATCTAAATAAGGTGCATCTAAAAAAGTAAAAAAAAAAAAAGCAACAATGCTAGGTGACCACAAATTCTATGGCTCGAATGGCTCGAAACACTATGCAAAACGACGTCGTTTTGGCAGTTTTGGACCATTTGAGTCACAGAATTTGTGGCCACCAATAATTTTTCAAAAAAAAAAAATGTTTAAAATTTAAAAAATATTCACTAAAAATAAAAAAAATACGAAAACTAAAAAAATCAATTTTCAAAAAACTTAATCCAGAAAACTCAAAGCAAACACACTGAATATTACTCAAAATTTAATAATTTATATGGGTCGATAGCATTTTTCTTAGGGTCCAGCTTGTCTCAAGTTGAAATAAAGACTGGACCCATCCAGTTCGGCCTATGGGGTCCATTTTTTGGGTCTGTTTTGATAATCTGAACCGTTCAATGTGTAAAACTCGTCGAGTACTACTTGCCTGTAAAAAATCACGTTGATCGGATATTAATAGTTATGTGATCAAATCAGTTTTGTATAAAAAAAAGGACGGTGAAACAATTAACGGTTGATAAAAAACTGTTTTGTTCACATAGCTATCGATATCCGATCAACATGATTTTTTACAGGCATAAAGTACCTGACAAGTTCTACACATTGAACGGTTCGGATTATCAAAATGGAACCCGTGGTGAACTCCACGGGCCCAACAACACGGTCGAGATTGGACTAGACCAAAGCCACTGCCTTTTTCTTAATAGATACTAGCCTATCACCCGTGCGATGCACGGGATAATTATAGATATTTATATTTATTTTAATTTTTTTTAATATATGAATTATGTTTTTTAAGATTTTTTATAAAAATAATTTAACAATCTTATCATTATACAGGAGAAATTAAAAAGGCTACTACAGTAACTATGCACATGCTGTATCTATAATTATTTGTATGAGAGGATTTTAAATGCTAATCAGAGATTTTGACCAAATCAGTAAATGCAGGCATGTGGATTGAAAAAAGTTAATAAATGCTGATCAGAAGATTTTGACTAAATCAATAAATGCTGAGATTTTTTTTTAAATCAAATATTTAGAAAATTAAGATTGAGAGATTGGAGCTCCCACAAGGCTTATGCACAGACTGTATCTATAATTATTTGTATGAAGGGATTTTAAATGCTAATTAGGGATTTTGAACAAATCAATAAATGCAGACATGTGGATTGGAAAAAGTTAATAAATGGTGATAAGGGGATTTTGACCAAATTAATAAATGTTGAGTTTTTTTTTTGTTTTAAATAAAAATTTAAAAAATTAAGATTGAGAGAATGGAGGTCCCACGAGGCTTGGGGTTTAAAAATCTCATTTTTCTTAATATATTTACAATTATTTATGTATGTGAATTGCGATTTTTAAATGTCTTTTTTTTATAAAATGTCTTCTTTTTTTTTTTATTTTATATTAAAGTTTAATATTTTGATAATAATTATATGTGTTAGATTTTTCAAGGAATTAAATGTTTTTTTTATTATATTATATTAAAATTTAATATTTTGATAATAATCATATGTGTTGGACTTTTCAAGATTTTTTTTTTATACTTGTTCTTAATGCATTAAAATATTATTATGAGGGACAATAATCATATGTGTTGGGACTTTTCAAGGAACTCATATGTGTTGGATTTTAAAGAATTTTTTTTGGGTAAGACTTGGAGGTTAGAAGAAGTTAATAAATACTAATTTTTTTTTTAAATTAAAAAATTAAAAAATTTAAATTGAAAAATTAAAACTCTCAAAAAATTTGAGTTAAAAATCTCATTTTACTTAATATATATATATATATATATATATGTGGTATAAATAGATATGTAAGACCACCGTTTGAAAACACAACCGTACGCTCCACTCTGTAATATACATTTTCTTACTCATCATCGTCATCATTCATCACTCCCAATTACTCTCTCTCTCTCTCTCTCTCTCTCTAAGCGTATAAATGGTGGATCGTCATTGACATTGTCGGTGTTCAAATTCTGGATACCCATCTCGCATGCGACCCTCCGACGTCCTAATGGAGGACAGCGATGATGATTTCTTCGGCGAATCATCATTCATCGTCACCGATACAAGACGACGTAGAAGAAGAAGGAGAAGGGGGAGTTGTTTGTCCCCTCGATCGTTGCTCTTTCGATGGTGGTCGCCCTCTAAGAAGTCGAAGGGGCAAAAAATTGTGGAGGTAAAGAAGAGTGAGGACGTATCGAGGAGGGTGGGATTGGAGAGAGAGAGAAAGGAGGAGGTGGGTTGTTCGATGAATGGTCTGAATGGGGAATCCTCTTCCTGTGTTTCGGATTTGAAAGAAGAGTCTGAAATTGATGAGGTCTCAGCCTCAGGTAATGATTATTTATTTTTATTTTTTTTTAAGGCCCTTTTTGTGTTCTTTCAATCTTTTGCTGTTTATGTGGCCGATTGTGGTGATTTTATAGGAGCATCTCTACCTCTTCTCTCTCTATATATATCAAGTCTTTTTGAAAAATTCTAAATTTATCATATAAACATGTTTTAACTATTTTTGATGAAAGAAAATCATCTGTAAGGCTTTCTTTTATTTTAATAATTTTTTGATTTTTTTTAATTAAAATATGAGATAAAAAAATTAGTATATTTAAAATACTTTTTTTTTTAATTTTTTTTTTTTAAAAAAAAAAAGACATATAAAAAGTAAAAAGAAAAAAAAAATATTTTTGATATAAGTCATTCATTTTTTAAATTTTTTTAAAGTAATTTTTTTGATTTTTAAGTTAAAATAGTAAGATGCCAAACATGGCTTAAGAGATCCTTGCCCGAATGTTTCATCAAATTTAAATTTGAATAAACACGCCCCTTTTCTACTCCAACCATGGCATCAAAACTCATATCAAATGAAGGCTATGCCCCATTTTTTATCAAATCAAAGTAGCGTTTAATCTTTCATTAAATTTCATTAAATTTTGCAAGTGACCGTTGTTGGTGGACTTACTGGCTGGTCAACCGAGTGGATAACCGGCGGGACATCTGGGTAGATAACCGGCTTATTAAAGTTCTGCTAAAAAATTTGCTCTAGGTCGGATGACTGGCCAAATTTGATGAAACAACTGGGTTGCAAAATATTAAATCAAACTTTGATGAAAAAATTGAGTAAGCGGTACAGATGCTCTAATCTCTACTCTTTTTAAAATTTCACCAAATTTGACTTAAGGTATAAAATTTCATCAAAATTGCTATGTATTTGGTGAAAGAATTTGGTTCCATCTTGATTTGGTGAAAAAGTTGACTCTCCCTAGATTTGATACCGATCTGATGAAATGGTTGGAGCACATGTCTAGCTATTTTTTTAAATTTTTTTTTATCAAATTTAAAATTGATGAAGGATCAGAGATTATGAATCGTGGTTGTGTAATAATGTGTGTGCATATTAAAGAATTAGGCAAACGTTTTATTTGATTCGGATTTAAATCTGTATGTATATGTTCGTATTTGTACATTAAAACATTGATGATGGTGGTATATATTTCTTTCAGTTGAGATGCAATTGATTTTGTTTACCAATAAATTATGTGTGCAAGCTTTCAACATGGTTGGAGAGGTATGGGACCTAGTTGAGTTATTGTTTGATGGAACATTGAATCTTATTGTGTACAACCAAGGAATATACCGGGCAATCGTAGTTTGACAATGTTTGCTTAATTTCTATTAATCCATTGAATAATATGGTTTCACTTTGAGTTGAATTTTCTAGAACAATATACTTACTCTTTGAGTCTCCTCTGTCTTCAAAAGATCCACTGCTGGTGGATGGATCTCTTCTCAGGCTGACTTTGTGCACATATTAGTGCGGCGAAGATAACTCTTTTCAACTCTTCCTATACGTACTTCCCATCCAATCGGGGGTGTGCCAGTTCATTGAACTTTGGTTGGGTCTACATACTCCCCATTCAGTCACGTCAACCGAAAGGGAGGGTAGTATTTTGGAGCACAACTAATTCACATTCAACGTCTGATCCTTTGATTGGGCGTGGATTTTTTTGTGAAAGCATCAATCTGCAGACTGGTCCCCTTGATTCATGGGTTATAGGCACTTAGTTGTGCACGTGTCCATCTGTTTGCATACCTGTATTGCGTGGCTGTGATAATTTTTTATACATTTTTGGTGTGCTTTCTTGTGCATTTCTCAAAATCTTACTTCTTAATGTCTTTGCCAAGTGAATGGCAATTGAGGTATTAAGAAATGCAGCATGAGTGCATATGATTGGGATGTCACTTCAGCTCCAATTGAGCTAGAGTTGTCTGTTTGTTTCAGACCATGTGTGGGTTAACCTCAAGTTGACCAGTTGTCATAGCAGCCACAGTGAGTGAATATTCACCTTCTAGTTTTATTACTCAAATCCTTTCTTGTGGGAATTCTGTGTTTCCTTCTAAATTACTTTACAAACCAGCTGACATGTTCCTGGATTTAATTTGATTTTACAGTTTCAATATCATAATTTTATGTGTTTCTTTTTTTGATTTAATTGTTTTATACATTTGTCTTTTTTTTTTTTCACTGAATTGATTGATTTATTTATACAGGACAATTCAGGAAAGAGGACTGTTTCAACTTGGCAGTTGGATTTGGTCTGCTTTATCTTATTGCTGCAAGTAAAAACGAACTCAATAAGATTATTAAGTTGCGGACAGAAATGGAAATGCTTCTTCAAAATGTCAAAGAGGAAGTTGAGAACCAAAATATGGAAATACTGTGTAAACCATCCAAGTCAAATGAGATTATTGCTTGCTCAGCTATTGATGCCCATGAAAATTTATGCTCTAATGGGCATGTTTCACTTCAACATCTGTTATTGTTAAAAAATCCAGCAGATGTAGAAACCACCCAGTTATATGATCAATCTATGACTTGCGAGGCAATTAGACCAGAAAAATGCATGAAAGGAATAGATCAGCTTGAGGCTGAACTTGAAGCTGAATTGGAACGTCTGCAGCTCCACTTGGACTCGGATGATATTTTTGAATACCCAAAACAGCAAAGAGTGGAGGTATGTTTCATCATGTGCACCTGTCTTCCTTGAATTGGTGTCCTTATGTGATTTTTCATTTTTATTTTTGATTATTTTCTAAATGTGATTCTTTTGTTAACCTATGATTTACACTTCTGTATAGATGGATCAAAATGGGTATCAGTCATGACTGCTGAATGGAAGCGATTGGGCTATTGAGAATTAGTTAATATTAGTTTCAAGGGTATTGGCTGTGCAAACTCTGTTTCAATAGCTTATTAACATTATCTAAGGCAAATGATAACCAAAAATAACCCTTTTAAAGGTCATCAAATATTCTCTCTCTCTCTCTCTCTCTCTCTCTCTCTCTCTCATGTGTGCATGTTTTAGAGAGTGAGGATAAATTTAAAGTGTCATTTGTTTTCATTTTGGGTTTATGTTTCTCCTACCATCATGCTTATCTTCTGTATTACACATTTGAAAACTAACCAACAGTTCCTCCTCTGTTTTATTCTCATTCGAGCTATAATTTAAACACATACATCTTGTGAATATATGGATCACCCCTGCTACATGGCAGGCCCCATATGTACTGCATCATCTCCCATGGCAGGTTCTTCACCCTCCACGTGGGGAGCCCTCAAAGGTACCATGGTATCTCTTAAGCAATCAATTGAGGTTATGTGCCTAGCCAAAGCAGGGGCACAACCACGTAGTATAGAAGAAGCTTTGGCCTTGCAAAGCACTTGGCACCTTAGTTGTAGGCTAAGGCACATAGTGAATGAGTCAAAGTGTGTGGAGCTCTGAGGCGGGGGGGCCAAGGGGACTACTTAGCCAAGCTGAGCCACCGCTACTAGGTGGCAGCATGGTCTGGCTCTTAGCTTGGTCATGTCTCTCCTATGTCTTTCACCCCCAAGCTGGGGGGCTGCTACATACAATCACCACCAATGTTGCCACAGCTGTGGCATCCTAAACTAGGAACAAAGGAAGGAGGCTCATTACGTCTTCGGGTAAGTTTTGTTGAGCAGCTCCAAGAGATACAGAGGTTGACAGATGAATGGAGGATGCTGTTTTAGGACACTATTCTTTTATTAAGGGTAAATGATAAAACGGCTTTGAGTCAAGCACCAATTTTTCTTTCGTTGGCAAAGGTAGTGTAGAATATGTAAGCAGTTCAAGAACATACTTTGCATTCACCGTACATGGTCTCATAGAAACTTGAAAAATTCTTCAGAAGGATGTTGCACTTTGATTTTATCATGTTTGAATTTTTTGCTGGAACTTCTGAATTCTATACCTTAAAATTGGCAGGTGACCATCGAGGATACTGCTCTTGTAGGAAGCCTAAGTGCAAGCTTTGAAGTAGTAGTTGACCCTCCAGAGGCATGTACCCAAGAACACTTTGGAGTTCCTCCTAATGAACTTGAAAGGAGGTTGCATGAACTTTTAGAATCGAGACAACAAGAAAGGATAGAAGAGCTAGAACATGCTTTAGAATGTGTAAACCAAAAGCTTTGTGAGAAAGAAAGAGAAGTTTGTTGGTGGAAAAACACTGCAATACTCATTTCTCAGCACGTTCCAAAGACCTCTCGCTTGTTACCGTAAGATCAAACCATACCAAAGTCTTTCAAAATGAGATGTCGATCAAGCTTCCATGCCTTTTGTAATTTTTTTTGATATTGTTGCTTGTGGATCCCCAAAGTGTGGGGATAGGTTTGCAAAAAGGATGCTAACAACCGATGGTGAGAAAAGTGACAACAACAGATTTGAAAGGTTTCAGGGGAAAAAATAGAAAGAAATTTACTGAGTTGGGAATTAATGATATTATTGAACATCCTTATGAACGCTTTGTAGATGTAACAGTCTTGTTTAGTATGGCCATCTATTTTGCCAGACTCTGATCTCTATGTAATTTGGATGAATTGTCTCACAACTTTCAAGTACATAGTTATTCTAATGTTTCTGCTTTTTGCTTCTTGGATGGCACTATTTGGATGCTAATTAATCTTAAGTAATCCTGGAAACTTTTTGTCATTGGCAAGTTCAGTTTTCCTTTTCAAAACTAGCAAAAAAAAGAAAAAAGAAAAAAAAAAATGTTAACGAGCGTTTTAAAAGCACTTCATCAATTTTTCTTGGGCCGAGGCTATATATATCCCAATGAGCCGTGTGTCTTACCATTGAAGGGAAGAGATCTTCAGAAAGTGTTAAGGAATCAAACTTATTTAAAAGTTTATTAAAATAATTTTGCATTCTCCATAAAAGTACATATCATGAAAAAATGTACAACTACTTAAAACATATTATCTATCGCTAATATGACCTTCAAAATTTTAAAAACTCTCAAGTTAGTTATTTGTGATTTTGATTCAATTTAAAACAACGTATAGTAATCCTAATCAATCAATCAATAACAAATCAGTGTAATGATTTAATGTGAAAAAAAATCATAATTGGATTCCTCTAATTATGATAAAAAATCATGGCCTAAAATTTTTTGATTCAATTTAAAACAACGTATAGTAATCCTAATCAATCAATCAATAACAAATCAGTGTAATGATTTAATGTGAAAAAAAATCATACTAATTATCCTCTAATTATGATAAAAAATCATGGCCTAAAATTACAAAATAATCCACTAAAAAAATTAAATATATATATATATATATATATATTTACACATGAGAACCTTCAATTTTCTAGCGAATCCACGTCTAAATTGAACCAAGCCTGATATGCCTCTTCTACCACCGTCTTCACCTCGGAATCATTTTACCCAACATTGAATTCACAACACTTGTTGAATTATGACGATGAGCTACTCCATAATCCACCACTGCTTTAGGCCCAAGTTCTCCGGAATCCACCGATTAATACCTCTTTATATATATATAAATAACAAACAATACACTTTACATTAAATAGAGCCGTGAAGACTGAGAGGGTAATTTATGTGAATAGTTTTTACCAAACTAAGACCATTCATCTTAGACATTGGGCCGAACTACGAGCCAAAGTAATTGTTTATGTAGCACGGTCCTAGATCATCTAAGCATCAGGCCGGTCAGAGGTGGGCTACCAGTGGCCTGACTTGGCTATCCTGGACCGAGGTATCAGTGGACGGAGAACCGAGCCAAGGATAGCTCTGCAGGGCGTCATCTCACAGTTAGGGCTATGACAGTATTGCCTAAAGCGGCATCGAGCTGTGTAACCTCGGTTGAGTTTGGAAACAGCCGAGGCAAGAGTTGCAACCATGCCACTTAGTTGGCAGTGACTAGGGTGTAATCAGGGTAAGCATTATCCTTGAGAGTGTGATTTCTAGCAAGACTCTACTAAGGAGGGTTGGAGTCCTACTAAGATTGTGCTAGGTGGAATCTATAAAAAACTCATGACAAACTTATGTATAGGTATCACAATTCTTACTCTGGAATACATAGAGCTTTTGCGTCTATTGTCTATTGAATGACTTAAGCATCCGAGAGGTTTCCGGTACACACCCGCCGACTAACTCACGTTTGTGTTTTTAGGTGGCAAAGCGACGATGTTTGGAAGAGTACAAACTTGATCAACAAGATTATACGAGAAGATTATTTATATGCTCGTACAATTGGCGCCGTTTGTGGGAAGTCACACAAAGAACAAACTTTTTGATTGAGTTTCCTCTTTAGTTGAAATCTATGGCGCACAATGAAGACTTACTACATTCTGCTATTGATGGGCAAACCCTGGAAGGGGACGCGAGGCGCGAAGGTTTACCTTTTATCCCACCTATGGCAGAATTAGATCCCCAGCGACGGAACCCACGCAGAGACACACGAGAAAGACGGGGCTCAAGCCCTTGTCGCTCTCAGAGCCCTGATAGGCAGAGGCAGAGAATGGATCCTCAGGTTCTGGAGGATCGTGTAAGGGAGGAAAACGAATTGATACAGAAGATGGCGGCAGACATGGAGATGATGAAACGCTAGATAAAAGGCAAAAGGGTGGCAACAGAAGAAGGGCGCAAAGGCAACACACACTCTTACAACTCAGAAGATCGTGACAGGCAAGTCACACCGTCACAAGCTGAAAGTAGAAGCCACAGGATAGACAACACACAATCAAGGACTTCTAGGACTCGTTATTCCAGGTCTGAGAGAACGAGGACTGAAAGGTCTTATACGGAGAGAAGCAGTTATCGGCCCTCGCATTCACACCAAACAACATCTAGGCACACGGAGTTGCCTAGGTCAACAAACCTACATATAGTGCTACAAGAAAAGACTCAAATGAGAGAAGACACCCAGGCTGATGAACCCCGTAGAGTCTTAGCGCTGCAACGATTGGCTCCTAAAACACATAAGAGTGTCTAGATTAGAATGCCAAAACCACGCCTTGCCTATGAACCAGTAGACAAAGCATTAGCGAGGTTGCAGAGGTCGCTGTTCGTTCCGACGATAGAGGACGCACCATTACCCTCAGGTTTCCACCAACCCAAATTCACTACTTATGAGGGAAAGTCAAACCCCTACATGCACTTGAGCCACTTGAGCCAGGTTATGGCCGTGTATCGGTGAAACGAGGCTCTAATGTGTATCCTGTTCCCTTGCAGCCTTGGTGACCTGGGTTTAACATGGTTTGAAAGGTTGCTAGAAGGTAGCATAGTGTCATGGGCGCAACTAGCAGAGGCATTGGTGACTAGATTCAAAACGAACACCAAGATGCCAGTGGAGATTGACCAGCTTATTTCCACAGACATGGGCGACAAGGAAACATTGAGGTCTTACAATAACCGGTATTGGGAGACTTTTAATCAGATTGGAGATTGCCCTACAAAGCTAGCTATCGCACAGTACAAACGAGGTTTGTTGGCTGGCAATAAATTGAGGAATTCAATGACGATGACTCCACCCCTCACAATGGAGGCCCTAATGGAAAAAGTACATCAACACATCTGGGTAGAAAAAGATATCGCTCGCTCCAAAGAAAAAGCTGGTACAACAGTGATGTCAGACAAAAAACTTGTGACAAAAGTTAACACGATGGGGCGAGAGAAACAACCGAGCAAAAATAGGCAAGGTAGACGAGCCAACCGAGAGGACCCCCAAGTAAGGAAGTTGAGAGTCTACATTTCCATCACCACGATATTCAATAAACCTATCTACCAGATTCTTAGCGAAATACGCGATGAACCCTTCGTTCGGCGGTCAGCCAAATTGGGAGAAGCATAGAGGGGCTACGATGATAGGTACTATTGCACCTTCCATGATGAAAATGGGCACCGAACTGAAAACTGTATGCCATTAAGGCAACATCTAGAGGAGTTAGTGGCTGCAGGCCACCTGGATCAATATATTGAAGGGGAAACACAGCCAGCCCCCCAGGATCACAATAGGCCGGACGAGATGTCGGTCGACAGTCCGCCCCAAGGCATAATCAATGTAATACATGGGATCATCGAACTTGAAATAGTAAGTGAACTCAGAGGGATGATCAAAAAGGCTGAGCATATGAGAGAGGTACTAAGTGCACAACCTACCGTGAAAAAGAGAAAAACGGAGGCAACGAACGTCATCACATTTTTTGACAAAGACTTAGCAAGGTTACAAAGCCCTCACAACGACGCACTGGTGGTTACTCTGTGCGTCAAGAATTTCGACATCAAGCGGATCCTAATTGACCAAGAGAGTTCATGCGAGATAATATATTACGAGACCTTCAAACAACTAAAATTAGAGGACAAAGACTTGGCACCTGTAACATCTCCCTTAGTCGGCTTCAACTCAATGCTAGAATGGCCAGTGGGCAAAATAATTCTGTCAGTCAAAGCAGGAACAATGACAAAACAAGTGGAATTTTAGGTATTGAAAGTCCCATCCACTTACAACATAATCTTGGGAAGAGCATGGTTGCATGCCATGCGAGCGGTAGCATCAACCTACCATCAGGTGTTATGGTCCCCCAACGATGCCGGAATGATTAAGGAGGTCTTGGGAGACCAAATCATGTTCAAGCAGTGCTTCATAACAGTAAATGGCAGTCGGGCTGCAAAAGGGTTCGTACAAATGGTAGAGGAGCCAGAAAGCAACGAGCTGTTCGCAGATGTCGACAAAGCAGAAGAACAGAAAGTAATGGAAGACTTGGTAGAGGCAATGATAGATGAGAAAAACCCAGAGAGGTTCTTTTTGCTCGGCTCGTCTCTATCCAGCACCGAGAGAATAGAGATCATGGAATTTTTGATCTCTAACATCGAAGTGTTTACTTGGACGCCGTATGACATGCCTGGCATTGACCCCAACTTCATCTACTATCAACTCAATGTCCATCCAACCGCCAGACCAATTATACAACGAACTCGCTGATCGACACTCTACCACGCAGAGATAGTAGTAGAATAAGTAAGAAACCTGCTGGAAGCAGGGGCAACCAAATAAGTACACTATCTTAGGTGGATCTCCAACACGGTAGTGGTACCAAAAAATAACAGAAAATGGCGCGTTTGCGTGGACTACAAGACAATCAACAAAGCATGCCCGAAAGACAGCTTTCCTCTACCACGAATAGACCAATTGGTGGATCTAACTGCAGGACATAACCGACTTAGCTTTCTTGATGCGTACCGCGGTTACCATCAGATCACCATGTATGAACCAGACCAGGAGGTCACGTTGTTTACAATACCCAGAGGATTATATTGCTACAAGGCCATGCCTTTTGGCCTAAAAAATGCAAGGGCAACATTCCAATGGATGATCACCAAATGTTTGAGCCATTGTTAAGCAGGAAAATGGAAGCATACATAGATGATATGGTGGTTAAAAGTAAGAATGAGGGAGACCATCCCAAGGACCTAGCTGAGATGTTTCAAATTTTGAAGACTCACGGACTGCGATTGAACGTATCCAAGTGCGCATTCGGCGTAAGGTCAGGAAAATTTATTGGCTTTCTGGTGACCAACCGAGGTATAGAAGCTGGTCCGTCTTAAATTAAAACCATTCAA